AATGGTTGAGATAGATGGAGTACACATTGAAAATGTTCAGGAAATTAAATTTTTAGGTGTAACGATAGACAACAAGCTAAGTTGGAACGCCCACATCAGACATATAACAACTAAAGTCTCCAAAAGCCTTGCCATAATAAGTAGAGTTAAGCATATCCTTGATTATAATGCACTCCATACCCTGTATTGTGCTTTAATACAGCCATATCTAACCTACTGTGTAGAGGTATGGGGCAATAATTACAAAAATGTAATACAGTCACTTTTTTCACTTTTTTAATACAGTCACAGAAAAGAGCGATACGAATTATACACAAGGCCGCCTATTTCGAACACACAAATCCTCTCTTTCTCAAATCTAAGCTATTAAAAATGAAGGATCTTGTAAAATTATATAATGCACAGTTCATGTTCAAAGCGTATCACTATTTATTACCTGTGAACATTCAAAATATGTTTTCTCATAAGGAGCAGTCGTACAGTTTGAGAGGATTTGGAAACTTTGTGCTCCCAATGGCGGGTTCCACCAGGAGGAGTTTTTCTATGTCTGTTTGTGGGGTTACTTTGTGGAATAATCTGGGGCTTGAATTAAAGCAGTGTCAAGGCATTCACAATTTCAAACGTCTTTACAAACGAAAGGTCTGGTTCCATTACAATGACAATGAGGTTTGATTGTTTCATGTTGTGTGGATTGTTGGATTAGTTGTTATTTATTTACCCTTGTGGTATTCCATCTACCATTGTTGGTAGTTGTTCGTCATTATGTACTCTTGTAGTATTCCATCTACCATTGTTGGTATTTGATAATCATTGTTATGTACCCTTGTGGTATTTCGTCTACCATTGTTGGTATTTGATAATCTTTGTTACCTGTGGATAATCATTGTTACCTGTGGAATTATCTGTATATTATTAATATGTATGGTATGAATGTATGGTTTTGACCCGTGCAACCACTGTTTCTAAATGAGGTATTATTATTACTATTATTATTCTTTTTTTTTATTTTTTTTTTATATTATTTTCTCTTTGAGATTATTGCTGAAGGAAGCAGCCTTTATTTGTTTGTATAAATTCTTTTATAGATTGGGGTGGGGTTTAATAAGTTTTACTTCTTCCCACTCCATTTTCAAGCATACGTGTATAATTTGTTATTATTGTGTATCTTTTCTGTTGTCACACTATTTTGCTTGAAATAAATAAAAAAAAAAAAAAAAAAAAAAATAATTGTCTGTGTATTTAAAGCCCACACACACACACACACACACACACACACACACACACACACACACATATATAAGAGTAGGCCTATATGATCATAAGCCACATAATGAAATGGTCTGAAGCAGCAGCTTCCACATGCACTTCCTCTCCCTCACTCTGTTCTACTCAACACAGTTTGGTTTTCATGTTTTATGGGGACTTTCCATAGACAATGATTTTTATACTGTACAAACTGTATTTATATCCCTCAGTTTATCCTTGTGGGGGTAGTAGCCTACACACACACGCGCACACACACGCGCACACACACACACACACACACACACACACACACACACACACACACACACACACACACACACACACACACACACACACACACACACACAATCATGTTTGCATAGCTGTTTGCCAGTCTGCTGTGGCAACTCAAGGTTTTTATTTGTAGGGTATTGGAGTGTTTTTTCCCATGTACATCTAATTTCAGTTGACTCAGAGGTTCAACAAGGGCGTTTTTAACTGCGCTGTGAACTGATTTGTAGCAGCTTTGACCATGGTGATGTGGTTATGGTCAACTTCTTTTATATTTAGGCTTTGCTGCCATCCTCTGGCAGCACACAGAAGCACCAAAGACAACTGAACAACATTCTCTTTGTTTTTACACAGACACTACCATTCTCAAGTTTGGGTCAGTAATTTTTTTAAGGAAATTAATATTTTCATTCAGTAAGGATACGATAAATTGATCTAAAGTGACGGAGAATACAATTTCAATGTTACAAAAGAGTTATATTTCAAATGAAGACTTATTTGGAATTTTCTATTCATCGAAGGACCATGAAAGAAATGTATCACGATTTCAAAAAAATATATTAAGCAGCTCAGCTGTTTGCAACATTGATAATAAGAAATGTTTCTTAAGCACCAAAACAGCAATGATTTCTAAAGGATCAAGTGACACCGAAGAATGAATAATGATATTTTGTCATATAAGAGGTCTTTGTACCATTAAAACATCCTGCCTGTTTCATAGCTTAAAACGTCCTCCTCACTATAAACAAAGCATTTAAGGCTCCAAAACGGCTCGGATTTGTGGCTTCACACGGGTAAATACATTTGCATGTCTGGATCATAGACTGTAAAAAGGTCTGAAGACATTGACGAATAGTTACATCAACGCACCACAGGCCCCGCCCACTGGCGTTCCTTAATGAACATATTAAAATTCATGTCATGGCTTTTTTTTTTAATTATAGATAGACATTTACATAAAAATTGTGATTTGTATGTCCTTAGAAGTAATCAATTTTACAGGGAGCTTCAGCAGATACCAAAGAGTCCAACATTTGTTTTATTTTGGTCTATTAAAAAGAGACTAAAGACAACATGGGGTTTGCATTGTTTTTATTGACTGTTTGTACAAAAAAAAGAGGTATGATAAATCACATAACCAGCAAAGAATAGGCCACCTTTACCATGAAAACTAGACTTAAAAAAAAAGGAAAACTGAAATGAAACAACAGGCGTTGACATACAATTTGTTAGTGTTGGTCATGTTAGACTGCGCAATACAGACACCATACACGAAATTGCCGAATATGCCATTAAATGTGAAATGGAGATTGAAATGATTAATCTAGAGTGTCATGTTCAATATTTCTGTCAATCGGTTAGGCTCAGTTAATAGTATGTTCACATCTGTCCATTCAGTCCAAAACTGACAACTGAATATTCCGACATCACTTTTTAAAAATGCCTTTTTGAATCTCTTTATAATGCCATTAAAGTCTCTATGAGACTGTGAAGTTACAAGAGCATTTGTTGAATGCAAACTTAAAGCATCATACATGGATGTTTGATCACTTTCTAACACAAGGGCATTACATCTTTAGAAACAACACAACTATTTTACTAATCCATCAACGATAGTCTAACTATTCTAATTACACTAAACATCACGCCTGAAAAAACTTTTGTTTTCCCGAAAACAAATGCTTTTTGTTAACCAAATAGCGCAATCGCTGAGATTATCGGCGAGATTATTAGCTGTGACGAGAGTCCAGCGCTAACTGCATAATATTGGATGATGCTGTGTGTGTGTGTGTGTGTGGTGATAATCATTACAGAACTCCAGAGCTTCATCAGCATTACACATATTGATGACTTGAAAATGGACTTGAACTGGACAGAGAAGACACTGAAATGCATGAAAACACTTGTATGTGAAAACACACTTCACTTCTGATTATGAATGATGGAACCAAAACCATGTTTTTGTTGTTAGAAAAACAAATACTGTTACTAAGATGCTACTGTTATTAAGATACTTACAGAAACCCTAGAGGCTCTTTAAGGGATCTACCAACATGAGGCTTAATATAATTACCTTAATTATCATTTTAAGCCCACGTACTGGTAAATAACTGTCTGGAAATTATGTGGATAATGTCTAACATGGAGAGTTTAAGTTCCTTCATATCATGAGGGTGTGAAAGTACATACAACAGTAATGTAAACAAACAAGCGAGATGAAAACACTTGGAAAAAAAAAATTGTGACTCCATTTCAAGCAACGAGTCCAGGGCCAGAATGAGGAGTGATTAAAAAAAATGTATATATATATATAAAAAAAAAAACATTCAACAAGACGAGTTTCACAATATCCTTTTGTGATAGATCTATCAAACAAATGCAGTCATTCAAATAATACTACTGCATAATCAGAGGACTTAAGTTATGAACACTGGATATTTGATATGCATACATACAGTATATACACATACAAGAATATCCTTCACTAAAGTTTAGTACACTGAACTGTACAATAACTTCCAAAGGGAATTGTTCAGCAAAACACTGTCTTGCTTACATAGTAATCCTATGTTTTACAATACAAGATTAAAATTGTCCCAAACAGAGAAAAAAAAAAAGAAAAGAAAAAAAGTTTGCGCAAGCCCAGACAGGCCACAAAGTGCATATATTATACGCTCAGTTAGAAGCCACTGTTAGAGGAATCCAGAGGGTGTGACAATTCTGCAGCTTGTATTCCCACTCAGAAGTGGAAAAATGACTATTGCCATACGACGAATAATGTCGTCACAACGTGGCATGTTGTTTGTAGGCAACATGCTCAGGGTTAGCATTAGCCACTACCATTTAGCCTTCGGCAAATTTATCTCTGGCTCTCGCCGACACCTGGGATTCAAGTAGAGGCTTTGCAGCAGTGGACCGAGGTGATAAATTCGAGAACGCTCCATCTCAATTAAAAAAGGCCCAGTGATGCAAGCAGGACACCATCTCCCAATTCAAAAATACCACCCAGAGCATATAGTATACTGATATTAGGACAACGGTATGATCATTGAAAACACACACAAAGTAAGTATGGTTAAACTTAACATGAACCTAATGAAGAAACACTTCAGTTTGAAGCACATGAGGGGCCACGTATCACGTGACCGTCAATTTAACAACAGCAAATGGTCTCTTGTGCGTGGACAAGTTTGGAAAGAGTGGAAGGTGACATCTAGAGGAGAATGCTTGAAAGGCAAAGCATCATCTTTACGAAATGGAGCACTAAAAAAAGAAGAACATCCTTTACAGTAGTGCTATTGTGCCACATCTGAAAACTCTTTCTTGTGCTTTTTTCTTTTTACTTTCCTTCAAAAGACCTTCAGTCACTTCAGATCTTGACAGGCTTGTTTTTCTTTTTCTTTTTTATAAAGAAATGGCTCAGATAAAAGGATTTTTGAAATGAAATGGCTGTGAAAGGAGGATTTTTCTTTTCTTGAATGTGAAGGAATTCTGCCAATTCAGGCTTTTGCATTTTCTTCAAGCATTCCCCTCTCTGATTGTCCTTTCAAAAAGGACCTCTCTTAAAACATTTCAAATGGACAGACTGCTTTAGCAGCGTGTCTGTTCGCCATCGGTCTTTCTTTTTTGAAACGCTCTCCAGTCTGACAGGCTCAAAACCTTCTTGTTCTCGGAGACTACAGCCCCCTTTGGGGGTCCGGGTTAAAAATGCGTTTCTAGGATTTGTTCTGCTTCCTTTGGTGTAAAAGCCAGGGACAATCACTCTCTTGGTCTCCATCTAGCTTTCGCTTTCTCACCCTGTTCGTCTCTCTCTCTCTCTCTCTCTCTCCCTCTCTCTCCTGGTCTCTCTCCATTTGTTAACCATTGAGCAGGTAGACCACCAGCTCATAGGTGCACATCATGATAGCAGTGTTAGGGATCTGTCGGACCAGATGAGTGGTGAGGCCTCGGTACAGTGCTTTGTAACCCTCCTCCCGGACCACCATATTTAGAGTTTGAAAGAACGAACGATACTTGCTGCCCTCCTCACGTAGTCTGGTACGAATAACCTCTGTCATGGGAGAAAGAGAAAGACCAAACAGTTTTTGGCAGAGGAAAAAAAAAACTTAGGAAGATGACATACAGTGGAGTTCAAAAGTCTGATGCTACAAAAAAGTGCTTTTATTTCTGCATTTTTATTTAATAAACAAACTCTTTCATTCTAAATTACATCATAAACATATAGTAAGTTATATTATACAAATAAATTAAGTGAAAAATCTAACTGAAAAATGTATACATTTAAGAAAATTGTACAAATTTACTTGTATTTGGTCAGCTATACAGAATAGTACTCTTACAGAATAATATTCCTTCATTTTACAACATAACTTCTTTTAGATTTCCTCTTTTTTTCGGTTCTAGTTTAAATGGGGGGAAAAGTCCCTGGTCTTAAATTATTGGACTTTTTTTTCATTACATGACAACATTTTCCAGTGCCTTTTAATTGGTACATTTTAAATCTAAAAAGAAAATAAACGAGAAAAAAAATTAACTGATGGAGAATGAAGGTAGGCTTATCTTTGAAAATAGGTCGCAAGTCAGGATTTCAAGGATTTAATGGATTGAGGGTCAAAATGACTGTTAAAGAATTAACCAAATGCCAGCAAACTAAGGGTACGTTTACACAATAATGATGTGCTAAAAATGGAAAAGTTTTTTCCTTTGTACAGATGACAACATTATCAAAACCATCCCCGGTCACATGGATCCACAAAACGACTAATAACGCTGTATTATGCATGCCAGACAGGTAGTTGGCGATGTCACTTTGTGATGCGCACAAATGCATTCTTTAACCACAGTGCACTCGAGCCGAACGCACATGCCTATAGACACAAATTACATAATCTATCATTGTTTTGTCCGATTTTCATTCTAAGGATGTTGATCTTGATAATAAAACTGTATTATTACTTTGTCGTCTGGGTAAATTCCATCTTCACAAAGCCAGAAATATTCACTGTAATGCCAATTTGAGCAAAAAAACCCGCATAAAAAGTCTTCCGCTTTTAGTTGAAAACGTTGTCATGTAAACGGCACTTAACATGCCAGCTCCAAACCCATAAACGTAACAAATATTAACATAACCATCAAGAACAAAAAGTAAATAAGTCAGCACTCACCATGAGGATATGCAATTGAAGTGGCACAGGTCTTGGATGTGGCAGCAGCCAGCATCATTCCAACAAAGTCTGAAGCGTCTTTTACAGATTCATCTTCGTCATCCATGTTAGAGTTGGCCTTGGACTCAATTAGTTTGCGTTTAATGCTTTCATAGATGACAAAGTGAATGACAGTCTCTGATATGCCAGCATAAGAAGCGGACATGCCCCTGTAGAATCCCCGTAACCCATCTGAACGATAGACACGCCGGACACACTCAAATGCACTCATGCGCCGTTCTCCACGGTTCCTAAAAAAGAGAAACATTTGATAAATGTCAGAAATCTGGTTATAATATTTCTTCCTTTAATGTCCCCTAAAATATCTGTCTCAATGAGTGTCGTTCTGAAATGCAAGAAAACAAGCATGCTAGCTAGAAATTCTCATTGAAGAGTAAACAGAGTACCGTTCAAAGGATAAAAAATACCCTCCCAAAAAACATTAATACTTCTATTCAGCAAAGATGCATTAAATTGATCAAAAGTGAAAGTAAAGACATTTATAATCTTACGAAAGATTTTGTTTTAAATTGTAACAATATTGCAAAATATTACAGTTTTCTGTATTTTTGCTCAAAGAATGCAGCCTTGGTGAGCATAAGAGACTTCTTTCAAAAACTTCAAACCAAACGAATAGTATTACTTACCTGGCATCAAGCTGCAATCGAGTCTTTATAAGCCAGATCGGGTTGGTTACTGTGATGGCAGTGAACCCTGGGAAAAAGAGGTGTTCCAGATTAGTCTTGGAAGTGATATTGTCATAGCAACTAAGAGCACTTTCAGCAGGTCTAATGACTCTATAACTACAAATGTTCCCTAAAGAAACTCCACACTTCAGATAAGTGCTGTGGACCTCTGTAAAATATGCTTATGGCCTGATTGTTTCGGTTTAAAATGTATAATATTAGTATAATATGCTAGCCTCTTGTTGCAGCATATCAGGACATGTCACACCAATCTCATACACCAGCATCGTGATATGGACTACAAGTTCCCCCTCAGGAATGCCCAGCATCATTAACAGCGATTACTATCTAATGTCAGGAAACCATTGCAGATCCACTAGGCACTTATTTTATATATATTAGGTAAAAGAGCCATAAGCACATCTTAAAGTGGCCACAGCAGTCAATAAGGCCTTTTTAGCTAATGCATTAAGCAGTTTTTCATCTATAACAGGACTCTAAAACCAATGTAGCTTTACTTCTTGAATATTTAGCCCTATCCTCACAGAATGAAACAATATTTTATGGATCGAGTGGAAGCTAAATGAGATAAACATCTTGAGAAAAGAGTCTTAAGTTAAAAAGAACCACTATCCAGTTACATAACTGCAGTCAAATGACAAAAACTGTTATTTACGTTAGGTAAATGACTGTTTTTCACAGCATGGGCAGTGAATTATACCACCGCTGTGATGTAGTTGAAAGGCATGCCATGCAAGTACTATGCCGGCAAGATTGTGTTATATGACAAAATCTTAGTAAACGAGATTAGCACAACAGTGACTACGTTTACATGTGCACCAATAATGAGATTTTTTATTTTTTTTTATTACAATAATCAGATTAAGAACTTAATAGCAGTAAGATGTTTACATGACATGAGCAAATCTATTCACTCCCGTTTACATGCAATTCTCATTATTCTGATTATTAGCCAAGAAGTGTGGTTATTTTTACTGCCATTCTTCACATACCCCAATGCATTGCACAAATGATGAACTCACGTACAGTAGGTGTGTTACTGGCCACTGTTTTAATCTACTTGCGTCAAATGTAAAACACATTTCTATGGACGTATTGTATATTATTCGGGACCGTGATGAACATAGCAATGCTGCTGTAACTGGGGTTGCCTACGTTGCATTCGCATTCTCTGCACCGATTCGATTCAGAGTGGAGGAAAAACTCTGGAATAATGTCATGGAGTTCATTCATGAAGTTGTGTGAACAACACGCGTCAATCGTGTACTTCCGAGCACATGTACACTTTGGTCAGAGAGGTGATAGTGCAATTAATGGGTCTCATTCATGAAACTTTCGTAAATATACAAGTAAATATGCGAGTGATTTGCGCGTAAAGAGACCTTCCCGAAAACTGATTCACAAATACTTCGTAAACGTCAGATGTGATAGTGAAATGTGTGTGTGTGTTAATGAATTCCAATCAGTAGTAAATGGGGTGCGCGTGCACGTTCATTCTCAATTACCATAAATCCCGCCCATTAAATCCAACTGACAACTATATATGGGCATCATATTATGACATGAATGCGAATGAAAAAAAATCTTCTCAGATGCAGAAATTGAAGTTTTATTATCAGAAGTTCATTCAAAACGCCACATTTTATTTTGAAGCGTACATAGTGGCGTATCGGGTCCTAAAAAAAAAGGAAGCTTGGCAGCATATTACAGATGCAGTTAATGGAGTTTCATCTGTTAGTCGAACAATCCCAGAAGTGAGAAGAAAATGGTTCGACATTAAGCTTGAGAGCAAAAAACGAATTAGTTCACTTCGGAAAAATAGTATTCAAACTGGAGAAGGACCACCATTGCAGATGCTATTACTGGCTCTCATAAACGTATGTAATTACTGTATATAATATTTTTTTCAAAATGCTGTGCAAATATGTACCCGATTAAGGTGAATTAAAATGCAGCCTTATTAATGAGCAAAACGTTCGGGTGTTAAGCGCACTATTTACTAGGGCTGTAGTCAACCAAAGAAATCCTTAGTCGACCAAAGTCTTGTCCTGCGCAACGATTAGTCGACTAAAAAAAAAAGAAAAAAAAGACGCGATGCTTTGATTGAACATTTTTTTTAACAATTGTCATAGAGCATTTATAAAACAACAAAACGAAAAAACATCAAAAATACATAAAACTATAATAATAATAATACAATTCTTTGAAAATTAAGTGATTTTTTTTAACTGCAAAAAGTGAGGAGCACTGTCCTAGGTCTATAGTAACAGTCATAATCGCGCACCTGACCACACCACACGCTATAAAAAATATAACTGCTATCTGCCACATAATGAAACATCCTAACAAAAGCTCTCGTTTATACAGGCTGTATATTCTTCTTTACTTTCAAAGCTATGGGTTAACTTTTGTCCAGCCGATCTAGGCGTTTTAAAACAAACACACAAAAAACCCAGAGAGCCTAAAAAACAATCCTAATAATAATAGGCTGTATTGTAGGACCGCATATAGGTTTATTTTCGTTTTGTTACATTATTTAGGCTATTTTCAAATACTTCAAGTGTACAAATAAAAACAAAAACATATCAAGAAAACACAATCTATTGAGTCAGCATGATAAAGCCGTTAAAGGGACTGCTCACGTCTTTTGCGCGCTCAAGTTCGATTTCAAATGTAGGGGGGGTTGTGCGCGCTCATGATGGAAGCAACGCGGTCGCGGTGCGACGCGCTCTTTTTTTCCCGAGTGCGTCCACGCCGCATCGAGATAAAAACATATAATGTATAAAAACCAAAACAAGTAGCGTTCTAACTGAATGAATACAGCTAAACTACCTATATCCCTTACTGAGCACGAAGCAGCAGCGCAGCCAGCCACCGAGTGTTCTATGTGTGTGTGCTAAACTGTGGCGCTGTTACAAAATAGCCTAAATTAAAGCATTTAAAGTTGGGGATAAACCATAGGCTAATTATATTTAGAATACAGTAATATATAACTGCTTATAAAGGAATACAAATCAATGAGTAAATCATTGAAAATTTCTTTCTATTGGTAAAAAAAAAAAAAAAAAAAAAAATCAAAACCGGTCGACCAATAAGAATGTCAGTCGACCAAGACGGCATCGACCGATTAGTCGACTAAACGACTAAAGTTGACAGCCCTACTATTTACGCGTGGCTGGGAGCAGGTGTAGATTTCTTGTGTACCAACTAACATTTGGAAAATACGAACATTTTAATGAATCCGAAAATTTACGCCAGAACCACTTTACACACGATTTACACAAAAATTTGTTCTGCTCGTGTTTCATGAATGAGACCCAAGGTGTTTAAATGCCTGCTTATTGCGATTAACATCGGCGTACGCCACATAGTTTAAAGCAATTATGGTTACCAAGATTATGAGTTTAATCGCATTAGTTTGATCTATGTATTGTGTTTACATGAGGTGAAGTTTATTCGCAACATTGCCAAAATCCCATTATAATCACATTTATGAGGGTGCATGTAAACGTAGTCAATGTCCAAATTTATTTCGGTTTGCTGTTAAGGTATGTGTCTGCAAATTAAGGCTACGTGCATCTTAAAAGATTTAAGTGTGCTTGCATTGTATTATCAGCATTTAAAGCAACAGCAAAATATTCTGCCTGATGTTGGTGGGAACAATTAGTTTATCTGTTCAACTGCAGCAAAATGAAGCACAAAGCCTGTGCTTGGTGTTGTGGGTGCACAAAATATCCCCCAACAAAAAAAAACGAAAGAGAGCATAAGACAATGGCAATTGAAGATGAAGGTATTCATGTGCATTTCTAACAGTACAGTGTAAAACATCAGTGTTTGGCTAAACAAACCAAAAGAAGTCTATTGAGCTAGAGAAGAAGCTCTAGAGAGGGTAAGAGGCCTAAGGCAACTGACTGGTGAAGGGGAGGGGGGATGACAGATCGGTACAAGAGAGTAAGAGAGAGAGAGTGTGTCTCTGACGAGTACTCACAGGGGAGGGGCAAAGCTCCTCTCCTCACAGCTGCAGGACGAAGCCTGCAGATATGGGGGGCAGAGCAGGCTGGCTCACAGACCCTCACGCAGGGTGAAAGCTACAGTAAAGGCCTAAAATAGACACAGGCTTTTCTGTACCACAGTCACAAGCAGCAGTCCACATGCCCCTCAGAGCCAAGTCAAACCCATGAGGGAGTGGAACCATCAAAATAAACCCTGCCCACCTCCCCATCCCAGCCCCGCACACCAATTACATCAAACAATGACCATTCCATCCCTCCCACCACCCATTTAAACAATTAAGAGAGTGCTTTTATTTTTTCCTTTCCTTTTTATGGATAGAGAGACAGATAAAGATGATTAGAGAGAGAGAGAGAGAGAGAGAGAGAGAGAGAGAGAGAGAGAGAGAGAGAGAGAGAGAGAGAGAGAGAGAGAGAGAGAGAGAGAGAGAGAGAGAGAGAGAGAGAGAGAGAGAGAAGAAAGAAAGAAAGAAAGAAAGAAAGAAAGAAAGAAAGAAAGAAAGAAAGAAAGAAAGAAAGAAAGAAAGAAAGAAATTTTTGAGTTTTAAAGGACATCATTATACCAGTGTTGTTCATTTTAAATGTTAAGGTACAGAACAGAGTTGATCCTGCTGCAGTATCACTATTTATCTTGACCATATATGAGCTTTATCAATGCTGGGTCATAAACTCAGCAAAAAAAGAAACGTCCTCTGACTTTCAACTGTTTTTACTTTCAGTAAACTTAATGTGTGTAAATATTTGTATGAACACTAAAAGAGTCAACACCATAAGATATAAACTAAAAATGTTTCACAGACATGTGACTAACAGAAATGGAATAATATGTCCCTGAATGAAGGGAGGCTCAAAATCAAAAGTACCAGTCAGTATCTGGTGTGGCCACCAGCTGCTTGAAGTACTGCAGGGCATCTCCTCCTCATGGACTGGACCAGATTTGTCAGTTCTTGCTGTGAGATGTTACCCCACTCTTCCACCAAGGCACTCGCAAGTTCCTGGACATTTCTGGGGGGAATGGCTCTAGCCCTCACCCTGCGATCCAACAGGTCCCAGACGTGCTCAATGGGATTGAGATCCGGGCTCTTCGCTGGCCATGCCAGAAGACTGACATTGCTGCCATGCAGAAACTCACGCACAGAACGAGCAGAATGGCTGGTGGCATTGTCCTGCTGGAGGATCATGTCCGGATGAGCATGCATAAAGGGTACCACATGAGGGAGGAGGATGTCTACCGCAAGGCATTGAGATTGCCTGCAATGACAACAAGCTCAGTCCGATGGTGATGTGATATACCGCCCCAGACCATGACGGACCCCCCACCTCCAAATCGATCCCGCTCCAGGGTACAGGCCACGGTGTAATGCTCATTCCTTCGACGATAAACAAGAATCCGTCCATCACCCCTGGTGAGACAAAACCGTGACTCATCAGTGAAGAGCGCTTTTTGCCACTCCTGTCTGGTCCAGCGAAGGTGGGTTTGTGCCCATAGGCGGCGTTGTTGCTGGTGATGTCTGGTAAGGACCTGCCTTACAACAGGCCTACAAACCCTCAGTCCAGCCTCTCTCAGCCTATTGCGGACAGTCTGAGCACTGATGGAGGGATTGTGTGTTCCTGGTGTGACTCGGGCAGTTGTTGTGGCCATCCTGTACCTGTCACGCAGGTGTGATATTCGGGTGTACCGATCCTGTGCAGGTGTTGTTACACGTGGTCTTCCACTGCGAGGATGATCAGATGTCCTTCCTGTCTCCCTGTAGTGCTGTCTTAGGCATCTCACAGTGCGGACATGGCAATTTATTGCCCTGGCCACATCAGCAGTCCTCATGCCTCCCTGCAGCATGCCTAATGCACGTTCACGCAGATGAGCAGGGACCTTGGGCATCTTTCTTTGGGTGTTTTTCACAGTCGGGAGACAAGTTTCTTTAGTGTCCTGCGTTTTTAGAACTGTGACCTTAAATGCCTACTCTCTGTAAGCTGTTAAGGTCTTCACGACCATTCCACAGGTGCATGTTAATTAATTGATTATGGTTAATTGAACATGCATGAAAAACATTGTTTAAACCCTTTAAAATTAAGATCTGTAAAGTTATTTGGATTTGTACAACATTATTGTTGAAATACACAGTCCTGAAAAAGGGACGTTTCTTTTTTTGCTGAGTTTATAAACAGCTACAAAATCAAACTAGGATCAAAGTTTATATAAACAATAACTTTAAGGAGGGTCAGAGGCAGTGCATGTAAAAGTCCAATGCTAACCTTGTCATTCCTGCTGGCAAAATCATTGCCGAACGCAATTTCTGAAAGATTTGGAAAATACTACTTCTGCAAAAATGAATACTGAATATGTTGGGGATATAGATAGTTTTTTTTTGTTTTTTCCAACAATAAAAATATGTTTATATACTATGGCCAAAATGTCTGATATAACTAATGAAAATTCTTTAATGTTTTTTTTAAATTACAAATTATACTATTAGGATAACAATTTGAATGAAACGTTAAACTGAAAATGTAACAAGTTTCATCTTGTGCTTCAATGGAAGCAAAACAATATGATGTTTAGTAGAAAGCAGGTGAAATCTTCAATGTCACACGTGTTTATTTGATTAAGGTTAGAAATTATCGTTTAAACATTTGGGGACAGTGCAATTTTTTTAATGTTGTTGAAATAGGAAATGTTTTCTATTTTAATATATTTTCAAATGTATTCCTATGATGCCAAAGCAGAATTATTTAGTGTCACATGATCCTTCAGATATCATTCTAATCTGCTGACTTGGAGCGCAAGAATGTATTATTAATAATGTTCTTCATATTTGTTTGGAAACCATGATACATTATACAGGATTCTTGGATAAATATTTTGTAACATTAAAAGTGTATTTACTATCCTGTCACTATCAATTTAATGCATCCTTACTAAATAGCAGTATTCATTTTTTTTTTTTATGATAGTGTATTAATAATACCCTGGTTTAACATGTTTTCTAAATTTTAAAGTTCAGGTTCAAACTAGATTCACTTTCAATGCAGAGTTTGAAATCATGAGAGCACTATTTAACTTTTTTAACAGTCTGAAGCTGTTGATTTTAGAGGCCTTGCTGTGACTTTTTAAGATGTTTAATCACACCATGACTTTGTCTGGCTCTATATGACTCAGTCATAACCTAACCACAAAGATGAACAATGTGTGGGCCATAAGTGGCATGCATCAGGTTGCAAGAACTGAGCTGGAGGGAACTGTAAACTGATGCCAATACAAAGGCCAATTAAGAAAGGAAAAAACAGTCACCTATGCTTTTGAGAAGAGAGCGGCACATGTAATGAATATTTCACTGGCCTGTCCCTTATCAGATGCCAATTTTCCATCGCAGGCCTTCAGGGATCTATATTTAACCACTTTTGTAATGCAAAGGCTATCTGTGGAGTTTGTCAGGCCGTGTGGCCCCTCTTATCAACAACGAACAGACACAACATG